TGCGGCGAGAGAGACTCCTGCACACTTGGCTGCCGCTGACGTAGAACACTGGTAGTGGCCATGGCAGGCAGTGGCAGCTGGTAGCAGCAGCTGCGCAGCAGCAGGAGTACAGGCGGCAGTAGCAGCGCAGCAGCACTCGGGGCAAGGCGGCGCTAGTGCAGGACAGGGCAGCACGGGGCAGCGCACGCGGGTGGCAGCAGCACCTAGGGCGACGGCAGCAGGTGGTAGCACCTAGGGCGGCAGAAGGCAGTAGCTCCTAGGGCAGCAGCACCTAGGGCGGCAGCGGCAGGCGGCACTTGCGTGCGGGTAGGGCAGGCGCGGGCAGCGCGAGCAGGGCAGGGCAGGTGGGCGCGCAAGGCAGCATGCTCGGGGCAGGGCACGGGTCGTTGGGCAGCAGGGCGGCTGGGCGCTGGGCAGTAGGGCGCGCTAGGGCGCTGGGCAGCAGGGCGCGTTCGCGTGCTGGGCAGCAGGTTTTAAGGTTTTTATTATGGTCGTAACCATTGTACAGTGCCTACACAATTATGGCAAAAACACCAAAGCCGAAAGGGCCTATGCTAAACAGCATTAATTGCCTATTCGTTGCCGAACAGCACGTAACCCTCAGGTAACATGGTAGCACCGTGCCCAACTTCAGGAGGGAAATCTGTTTACGGAGGCCTGTAGGCATACCCCAGGAACCACGAGTGAACTAGAGAGGGGTGAAGTGAGGGGCGGCCCCGCTCGTCGAATTTCAGCATACGCGTGGAGTTTGCTAGCTTGACCCTGTTAGCCGAGCGTTTCTGTTTTTTAGCTGACCAATATTTCCGCCAAGCAAAGTAGACTCTGCAGGCCGTAAGGAACAGTGCGATGATCCGTTGTAGGGCCGAGTTGTTATCCGTGCTCTGTCTTCCATAGTGCTGCTCACAGCGGTCAGTCCAGAGAATGTGTGCAGCCGCACCGATTAAGATGCTCCAAGGGGCGATTTGTCCAGCAGGTCCCTGCGGCGGAAAGAAGACCACGTCGTGGTGGATGTTGGTGGAGAGATGTCTTTGCGCCGTTCGTTGAATTGCCTCCACCACCTGAGGCGTGGCTCCACTGTCGAAGACGATGTGAGGTAAGGACTCGATTACTCCCGTGTTGCATCGTACACATTTCCCCCGGGCTTCTAAGAACGGCATTCTTGAACCGGGGGGGAGGGCCCTGTAGTAGAGATGAAGAAGAGTGTCCCTGTGGCGGGATAGCTGGTCTTTGAGGAAGGTGTGCTGTAGATCCGGAAGAGAGTCGCGAGGCGAGTGAAGCACACGGTTCTACCCACTGATATGATTGAGCGGACGCCGAACGTAAAGGGCTTTCTTGATGACTGCTAGTGAGGGGTTGCGAGAGATGAGCTCGTGCCGGACACCCAACGCTGCGCCAGAGGAAAAGGGGCCGAACAACCAGTCGTCCCGCACACACACGTTGATGACTGAGGACTTTGGAAGCGTGCAGAGGCGTGTGCATCGCTGCTCCACTCTACCACCTGGTAGAACTGCATGGGATTTGAACCGCACCATCCCGTCAGGAAGGATTGCCACCACTTGAAGTACCCGCTGCAGATTCTCCCGCTCGTTGCTGATAATCGCCCATTCGTGAAGTTGAAGGTAGCCTTCCGCAGGTTGAAACGATTCAAGCACCGACCACCAGTTGTCGTCCATGGCGTTGTAGATATCCTCGATAATACTGAACCCGCAAGGGAAGTCCTTCAGGGGGAAGTTTGCGCAGAACTCCTTCTTGCTCATTCGCCGCGCGCCACCTTGGGTAGGTATGAGGATGTTGCCGATTCTCAGCTGTTGTTGCAGGAGGAAGGTTTCGTTCTTGAGTCTTCCGAACGGAAAGTCGGAGCCTTTCCTTTTCAGGAACCGATTGAAAGCCAGCGGTTCTGCCATTAGGACCCATGGTTCCAACTGGGGGGGAGTAATAACGACCTGAAGAGCCAAAACACTTCGAAGTTCCGCGAGCACTCTGCAGGGGATATCAGGTGGCAAATGGTCCTTGATGTTCGGGTGTGCAAGAAAGCAGTGAGCTCCATAAGGGAGAGGGATGCACTCTCGACCTACTGCCTTGAAAGGTGTGGGTCTGAATCTTCTGACCGCACGCTGAATGTTCAGGGCCTCGATTTGAACGGAAGGTGCAGTCGCACCCACCCCCCCATGTGCCTGCCGATTGTACAGAAAATTCTTGGGGATCATTCTTGTGGTCAGGCCGAAGTCTTTATACTTGGAAGAGGAAAGGAAATTGCCGACCGTTATATCAAGCTGAGAGGTAACCATCGGGGGAGGAGGTTGAAACCGTCCACCAAAGGAGTATAAGGAGGAAAGACGTTCTGCGGTCAGGAGGTTCCTGCACTTGGTGGTGGCTTTGATCTTGGCAAGGAAGGCAGAAATGGATCGTACCATGCCAAGGATGTGCTCCCAGGTTTTTTCACCGGGTGTTTCCTGTTCAGCATAGACCCCAAGAATCCTTTCGGCCTCATTCATCCCTCGGATAGGGATAGTGCCAGCGCCTGCAACCTGATCCGGTTGTACATGGATGGGGATGAGTGAGCATTTGTCCCAGTTGGGATGCTCCCCTGAAACTTCCGCAAAGGTAGAAATCATGTCCACTGCTGTGACAAGCTCTTGGTTGGAACTGAGAAACAGGGACACGTCGTCCGCATAGCAGGCCATGAGTTTGCGTTGGGTACGGGACAGAGCGAAGCCGGGCAGAGCGGTGGACAGATGTCTCTGCAGTACTTCTCTTACACAGACAAACAACAGGGGGGCGAGCAGACAGCCCTGTCGCACCCCCGTGACAACGGCGAAGGTGGGGCCATCCATATTATTGACCGATACACGGGTGAGTGTGTTGGAATGGAGCAGGCTGACCCAAGTCACAAATTGTGGTGGAAGACCAAGCTGGGATAGGCATTGCAGCATGAACTCCCTGTCAACCATGTCATAAGCTTTGCGAATGTCCACGGTAAAAAGCAGCATGGGGGTTTGTTGCACTACCGCCCAGTCAATGATATCCAAGGTGTCATTGATTGTGTCACCGATCTTCCTCCCCTTAATGAACGCAGCTTGAGAGGCATTAATGATGTGGGGCAGTACGTGTTGCAGCCGGTCTGCGAGGATGAGAGCGAGCACCTTGTAATCGGCATTCATCACAGTAATGGGCCGAAGGTTCTCAACTATCTCCGTATTCCCCTTCTTAGGGATAAGGACTGTCCTGCCGGTGCGCAAGGAAGCCGGAAGCTCTTGCGAGTCCCAACATGTTGAGAAGAGCTTAAGTAGTGCAGGGGCCATCTTATCTTTGTATGCCCCGAGCAAGTCCCCAGGTAAGCCATCAGGACCGGGTGTCTTACCCCTAGAGAGTTTGGAGATTGCAGTTTCAACCTCCCTTAGCGATATCTGATTAGCCAGCTTGATGGAGCTTTGTTGTGAAATGATAAAGGGGTGAATGTGGTCCCAGAAGGCTGGGGACCGTTTGATCAGGGTTACCCCACTGTAAAGTGAGGAGAAGAATTGCGTGCAGAGGGAGGACATCTCTCTGAGGTCATATGTTTTGTCGCCAGAAGGGAGGGTAAGCTGGGGAATGAGCGAGTCCTTAATCCTGCGATTTAGGCCGAAGAGCAGTGAGGAGAGACCCATTTCTCTAGGGCCTTCAATCTTCAGTTTTGCTTTGAGTGCTATTTCATTTGCCCTGCAGGAGTCGTACGCAACGAGGCAGTTTTCGAGATGGGCTAGGCGGCCGATTGAGGTGGCATCCAGAGGTTGGCGCAGCATATGCAATTGTAATCTGCAGCTTTCATCCTGGAGGTGTGAAGTCGTTTTGGAGACTCTTATACGTTCTTCCTGTGAGAACCACTGGAGTTTAGCGCACATCCGTTTTTTCCATGCGTCCCACGAGGGCGGATTGAACTGGTCAGGGAGTGCCGAGGTCATTTCTGTAATGGTGGCAGATACGAACGATTTGGTTGAGGTAGGCGCCATGGCCTGGGGGCAATGTTGGGATTGTCAAACCGCAGAGAGATGAATGGAGCACCAGTGTGGTCAGAGAGGCACGGGTTGACTGATAGGTATTTGGACTCCCCGATTCGTTGCTTCCAAGGATCCGACAGATAGATTTTGTCCAGTCTGGAGCCGGCTGGGAGGGGCCCACTAGTCCGAAGCTTAACAAAGAAAAACATAGCCAGGTTGGGGTGAATGTGCCTGAACGAGTCAATCAGGCCTTGCTCTTTCATGAAATCGCTGAAAAACTTTGCCTCGGTTTGTTCATGTGCAGTGAGATCCCTGTTACGGTCAAGATCCATATCGACATTGTTAAAGTCGCCTGCTATAATGGTGCAGTCACTAGCAGAGGGTTCCTGAAATAGGGGTGCGATGTTTGATTGCCACCAACGCATGCGGTCGATATAGTAATTGGGGGCGTAGATACCGAGGAGTCTGATTTGTTCCTGGAGATAGCTGCAATGAATCAATAGGTGCCTGCCATCACATGAGGAGGAGCGTGAAGAGATGCGGATTTTTGGGTGGAAAATTAATATGGCAACACCTCCAGGTTGGGGTTTACCATTTGCAAACACCGAGGGAGATTGCGCATAAGCGTTGGGTCGGAGTTTATAAATGAGACGTGTGAGATTATTAGTGAGCCTGGTGTCAGTGAGGATTAAGATGTCCGGGGTATTCCTCATCCAAGATTTGAGCAGATCCATCTTCTCGATTTTATTCAGCCCATTTACATTCATGCATAAGATTTTAAGTTGTGTTAACATTATAAAACCAGAAACAGCCCCCTAGTGTGCTGGTGCACACCCATCCACGGGGGTAGAGTTTGTTGCATGTGAATTCCCATGTTTTTAGCTGTGGTATTGGAAGAGAGGCAGATTGAGACAAAGAAAGTATCCTTTATGCACACCCCGCATGGTAAGAAAGCACATTGCAAGAGTATGTTATCATGGAAGTACGCAATGGCTAAGACCCTCTGAGGCAAGCCAGACATGTTCACACCTCCTCGGTCAGGAAATTTGCGATGGCACCCCTCTGAACAAACAGGTGAGCCGGGGTGTCCCCCAACTCCACAATGGGAGCTGCCTTCTTGACGGTATCCAGCAGACGACTCTGGTGAGCGGAAGTTTTGAGGTGCTGCATGGCACTGTCCAGCGCCCAGCCGCAGCAGAAAGAGCACACTCCGCAGGTGCAGGCCTCGACGTCTCCCTCGAGTCCTATGTACAGGAGACCAGGGTCCTGCTTGAAAGCGTGAGCAGCAGGGTTCTGACCGATGAGCTTCCCTGTCAAAGCAGAAACGAGGCATACCCAGGAAGGGAAAACGCAGACAGAGAGTGGGAAAAACAAAGAAATGGATTATCCCCACAGGGAGATCACCAACATGGAGAGGACCAAAAGGGTAAGCAGTGTACCACCTAGGTTTGGCCAGAACGCGATTAAAACAAAGACCGGCGGCAAGCCAAACGAAAGCTTTCGTCAATGAGCGGGTAATGAAACCGAGAAGGGGAAAGGGCAAAGCCATACCGTTCACATGCTGCAACTAGCCCAGCGAGATCTGGAACTGATTCGCCAGTCGACCTTTGCGTGCGGTCGCGAACCCACTGTGATCAGGGGCGCGGTGGTTGCTGTTGCACACTCCGCAAGAGTGTGATGAAAAAATGAGGATGAGCAGATCACGGATCCCGGGAAGCCAAATGAAGGCAGGGACTTGCAGGAATTGCGGGTCATCATCCACCGCGATCGGAATCCCGTGCAGCTGAGGCAGGAACGCGTCTTCGTAAGGATCGTACGCCTTATGGAAGTGGCGGAGCTCCTTCAGCCACCTCCTTGCCGGCGGACGGCGGTCCTTGGTGAGAAGGGTGAGGATGTCGGCTATCGCAAAGCCGATAGGGACGTTTCGGATGACGAGGTGCGTAGTGCCGGCGGCCCTGGCGGCGGAATATTCGGGCTCGGGGTCCTGATAGAACTTGATCTCTGCGGACACACCCTCAGCACGGTACGTGAGCGGAAGCACGTTACGGAAATGAAGAGCCGCATCCTTCGTAGGCCACTGCAAGATGTGCCTGCAATACGACCTACGAGGGAGGCGCAGGATTTCTCCTGGCGCATGATCAAACTTGGGAACCACACCACCGAAATCACGGCCCCGAAGGCCTTGGCGTATGCGGTCCACAATCTTATAGCGGTGCGACTCAGCAGAATCAGGAAAGATAATAGTGGTCAAGCAGTCCGTGTCACGAACAAGAGAGTCGGCAACCACACCGATATTCTCACGGTTGCGCCGGAGGCGGTTGAGAGGAACAGAAAGCGCGGGGCCTGTCGCGATGCTTGTTTCGGTTGCAGACCTCGTCTGCTGCGAGGCAGCAGCGGGCTGGGATGTTGGGGGAACCGAGTTGCCGCGAGGCAACGGGGCTCGGGGACCACTGGCAGAAGCCGGCGGGGCTGAGGAAGAGCCTTCGCCGCACAACTTCTTGGCAGGGGGAGGAGCAGAGGGACCAGCAGGAGATTCTGGCTCGTCTGCAAAGAAAGAATCCACAGAGAAGGAAGCGTCGAGCTCTTCCTCCCCCATCGGCACATCAGTGTTGTGCGATTGGGCCATCTTGCCAAGTGATGACTTCCTCCATGGCGGAGAGGGGGACTTATACCGAACGGAGCGATCCGATGTGAGAAGACGCGATCCGGCGAGGAGAGAGCAGCTGAGAGGCCAATTTGAGGAAAGAAATTTGTGGCTTTGGCAATGGCCGCTGCGCACAGTTGCATGGTTGCTTTCGCAAGTGAACACGTAGGAGGAGCGGCAAAGTGGAGGTTTACACGTCTCATCCAGAGCTTCCCACCCCCAGACTGACGAGCCAAGGAGCCTGCATGTACGAGCGAGCCAAGCTCTAACACCAGGAGAGAGCCAGATGTTCCAACAACAGGTCAGCAGCAACCCATCAACCCTCAACAGACTGCTTGGAGAAACATCCTTCCGCGTAAGTGAGTCAAGGAAACAGTTGCAAAAACAAAAACAAGAAACCTTACCAGGTTGAGAAGTAACGGATCCACAAAGAGGCCGTCGCTGGTTGGTCAGCCTGGAGCCATCTGAAAATCGATGGCGAAATGGAAAGCGCAGAGGCACGAGTGACAGGAACGGAATCCTACCAGTGGGTGAACCTACCTTGAAGTGTGAGCACCAAACAGTCCTCCTGAAGACAGCTGCAGCATCCACGCCTGAAACATGGGAACGACCAAGCTTACCTGTCACAATCAGACCAATGAAGAGCACAAGCTGGAGTTGGATGAACCCAGCATGCAGGCTGATGTGGCCTCTAGGCCAAGAAGCAGGTCGGAGTTCCATCGGTCAGCAGGAACCTCACACTTCCTTGTTTCGGGGGGACCAGTAAGCAGCAAGCACTTCGATAACGGGAACAGGTGTGCCGCATCTATGACAATCCGCGTGCTGGGCAGCAGGGCGCGCTGGCGCGCTGGGCAGCAGGGCGCGCTGGGCAGCAGGGCGCGCTGGCGCGCTGGGCAGCGGGGTGCGCTGGCGCGCTTGGCAGCGGGGCGCGGTGGCGCGGTGGCGCACTGGGCAGCGGGGCGCGCTGGCGCGCTGGGCAGCGGGGCGCGCTGGCGCGCTGGGCAGCGGGGCGCGCTGGCGTGCTGGGCAGCGGGGCGCGCTGGCGCGCTGGGCAGCGGGGCGCGCTGGCGCGCTGGGCAGCGGGGCGCGCTGGCGCGTTGGGCAGCGGGGCGCGCTGGTGTTGTGGGCAGCAGGGGGCGCGGGCAGTGCACGGGCAGCGTGCAGGGGGCAGGGCAGGGCAGCAATGCGACGGCGTGCTGGGCAGGGCAGAAACGATGGGCCGGGCAGGAAAAAAACAGGGACTGCCGGGCAGAGCGGAACGAATACGGTGGGCCCTAAAAATTTTGGTCCTAACCGGGACCTACTCTGAAACCATGTCAAGAAGTGATGTGTGCATTGAGTAGGATGAGAGTACAAGTAGGAAACCCTAAGGGGTTGTACTCACTAGAGTATGCCCCACTACAGCCTAGAGCATACAAAATATAGTTTGACATGAGATACAAATAGCCAACCCTAAAAGGGTTGTACTCTCTAAAGAGCAACTCATTGTAGCCTAACAATTAACAGGCACATTAATAATTTGGCACGCCCCCATAGGCTAGGTGAGGGCATCACACAAGCAAGAGAAGTAACAACTCAGGGCGGACCGTAGAATGCCGGCTATAGGACCCGGGGGACTCTCTACAAATGCAAAAAAAAATGCTAGGGTGGCAGTAGTTTTTATGTCCCGAGTACCCTTATTTATCAACTACCAATCTGTTATTTAGAGTGTACGGCTCAATATGGGGCGGGGGGGTCTTATATTCGTAACGAAAAACACCCCTCGTGTGCAAATTTTGCGCGAGCGGCACGTCAGATCTGTGTCAGCACTCTAGTCTGACACAAAAAGTGTGTCAAAAATCGAATTTGTGCCAGTAAAAGCTGACGCGCAATAGCAATAACAACTACCGTATCGCCCCAGATAGAAGCGCAGGCCTTCTACCAATTCACCTGTGCTCTCGTCACATGTAACGCCGAGGTACAGGCTTGAAAGGATGTGCTGGAGTTGCGTTGTGTGCAACCATGTGGCCATCGACTGGGTCAGCTGCCCGAAGCCGTATCTGTGGCGCATGTGAAACAAGACAATGTTAGACATAAGAAAATGCGAAACACAACTACAGCTTACAAGTTTTGAAACCGGTTACTCACGTAGTGTAATACCGTCATCGCCCGGATACAAGACAGTATCAAATTGAAGACAGGGGGTGCCTTTAAAATGGGTGCATCTTATAAATAGGTGCTCCTGACTATAAGACGCATGTCGGTGTGTATGCGTGTAGGGGTTAGAGGTAATCTTATGACGAGGGGGAATCTTCTAAACAGTTCTTTGTCCATTGATAAGAATTATAAGACACCCTAAACCACCCCAATTACAAGACAACCCATGCATTGTTTCTAGTGTATAAGATAAGACAAATATGTCTTATATCCGGGCGATGACGGTACGTTCCGTATCATTTCGCGGGGAAACCAGGAACCTTCTTCGCCGCGAGGTAGCGAACAAGTTGCACCCATAACTCTATGGGTGCATCTTGCTTGGTGCCAAATAGGAGGGAGTCGAGCAGCTCGATGACACGTTCCTTCTCGGTGTCACGAGCAAGGTTGTTGCCGTTGATCCGGGGCTGCCTGCCAGCTTCAGATAGAAGTTTTTCCTGGCTCTCGATCGCCGCCTTGTGCTTGGTTGTAGCTGCATGCCTTTTGAACGCCTGCGTCTGTACGTTAGTGGCGCCCTTACCACCTCTCCCGTACGGTCCAGCGTAGCCTGCGTGCTCCGTGCAGATACTGCACTTGAAAGCAGGGAGAACGTCATTAGTTTTCAGCAAAATAAGCCACGAAAACCTGTCCAGCCACTCGCTTTTGTACTTATAAAGAGCCTCAGCGTAAATCTCGTCACGGCCTGCCTGTTTAGAAGGCCGAGGAACAGATGGCGACACCTGCGTGCCAGCGATCACGGGCGCCGACCGTTGGTCGGCTGGCGAAGGCGGTGTAGCTCGCTCGTCAACGCCCTTTGTGCACCATGGCAGTGTTGACTGCGTGAATGTCCCTTTCTTCTTAGCCACGGGAACTGCCGCTGTTTTTTCAAGAGAAGGCGAGGAGCTGTCTTGCTCCATCACTGGCGCAGTAGGGGATGCACACAACCCCTCAGCATCGATGGGTTCGAACGGAATATAGTCAGGCAGCGCGACTGCAGGTGCCTTTCCATGGTTGTCGACTTGCGCTAGGGTAGAGAAAGGCAGATCTGGGCCGGTAACAGCATCGGAAACATCAATAGGCGGACTACGATGCGCATCATCGCCTTGGTCGTCATTATTTTCTATGCCATTATGGGAGTCCGGCATAGCTTGCAGCGCTACTAAACAGCACCTAACCCTAGGTACGAGTGATGATGGAGAGAGGATTGCCAGGGCATACCCCTCGCCACGGCTGACTGCCTCTTGGTACACTAGGCAGGAAAGCAGGGAAACCCCTTTCGGATGGAAAGAATGGAGCAGAAGGGGACCCTGGATGGCAGGTACAGCGGCTGGGCGGTGTGGATGCAATGCAACCCATCATGGGAGCATCAGTGCTTGCCAGCACGACCAAGTCAAACCACGCCACAGGTGCAAGCAATGGTACAGAAACCCTCGCTGCCTGCCAGCACCGTTGTGTTGCAACCTTGTCATTGGTCAACCCTTACGATGCAGCAAAACTGGCCAATGAAATGACAACTGACGCCAACAAATCAGCCCTCACAGTGAAAACCACAGGGCGAATTTGTCTGGTAGTCACCGCCAGGCGGTGCAGACACCGCGGGAATCTGAGATTCCCTGTAATTCCGGGCAAATCCACGCGAACGTGTAAGAATCGCATTCAGTGTTAGTTTCGTTACAACGATGTGGAATATGTCAAACTATTATGTTGTGTTTGTTGTGTAGGCTGTAGTGGGGTAGCCCATATGGGGTACAACCCAAATAGGGTTAGTACTTGTACCACATTTCTGTTCAATGCAATCATTCCTGTTCGTTAGATTCTCACAGAATCAGTGTGCCTAGAAAAAAAGAACCTGGAAAATCAGTGTTATCTAGGAAAATAAGGCTGAAAAAACAGTGTCAAAAAAATCTAAACTCTAGAAAATCAGTGTGGGTACCCAAAAGTAGGCTGAAAATCATGAATTTCAGGGGAAATTTCCTGATAACGTAGAGCCTGCATGCGCATATATCTGAAGCAATGCCCTTATGCATGATCCTCAATAAGAAGCGCACCCCCTTAGAAATTGTTACTTATGATAAGCGCACACTTTTTATGAATTTCATTTTTCTCTCTCTCTCTCTCTAAAAGCCCTCCCTGGGCTACACACGCGACAAGTCTACTTTTCCATTATGATTAACATTTTCTTACAAGTTTAGCAACTACCAACCAGAGCTACTAAGCCTATACAAGGCTTCTATACCTAGTCTAGCCTAAGGGATGTCGTCCTCCCCATCGAACTCTGGCTCCTGGCCGTTGTTGCCCCAGTAGCCATCAGCTTGGATCTCGCCGTCGACATCGACTTCGTGCGAAAGCTGGCTCCGCATGTGCGCCATTGCTAGCTGGTCCGCGCTCCTGTCAAGCACGTTGCTGATGCCGCACGTCAGGAACACCTTTTTGATGAGCTCGGCGGGCACTGCCTTCCAGGCCCTGGAAATCCATCTAAGAACGACCGTGGGAGGCGGTTTTTTTATGTTGCCTGCAGCGCATGCAAGGGATGGGGGAACGGATTATAACATTAGGGTGGGGGGGGAGCAAGGCACTAGTGGTTGTATAAGACAACATGCAGCTTACCTGCTGGTGTCAGTGTGCCCATGCCGTCCTGCTCCAACCAGATCTGGGACTGCTGGCGCACGCTGGCCTTGAAACTTTTGTTCACCGACACGTCAAGAGGTTGCACGTCTGCCGTGCAGCCCACCGGGATGACCGCCGGCACGATGTTGTGTCAGAATCCCAACCACTAGACCATTGGGTCAGTGCGCCCATAACCCCCCAGG